AAGTCCTATGTAATTATTTTTAGCTGTCTTTTACTTGAACGTTTACGCTACTTAAACCATCATTGCACACTAAATTTGTTTATCGTTATATTTGTTTATTTGCGTCTAGTATTTTTCTAATATTTATAATGTCTACTATACTAGTATTTTTTGCAAATACAAACTCATTGACTTGTATCTTTATCTTTGTATAATTGCATTTCCTGATGTATTTGATGGTTTTTAACCATTCCCAAGAGAATTAAATAACAAAAGACACGGCGGCCATGTTGGAGGATATAACAAAAGACTTCATTGACAATTCTTTTAAGTTCCTCCAACATGGCCGCCGTGAAAACCATCAATATAAATTGCGTCTATGAATATTCGAATGTGTCTACTTACGCTCAGGTATTCAGCATCTCTTTCAACCAAGGTGCCTAGTTTGTACAACAGTCTTCCTCTTTCAGAGGCATCCATAGTCCTCCAGGGGCTGCCGAGCTTGAACGCTTCTTTTGCTGCTTTGACTGCGATGTCAACATCAGCCTAATAATTGTACATTTCCATAAGTTAATTAAACTTATTAATTTAACAGCAGGAACTTGTAGATAAATTGGATCATCGTAAAAAGCCACTTACTCCGACGAAACATCAGTTTCACAAAGCTTTTTACGGTGATCCAATTTATCTACAAGTTCCTACTGTTTTATTCAGAAACACCGACGCAGGTTACGCTAGTGCTCTACTAGTTATCACCACTTATTAATTTAACGCACGCCTTTCACTAATTATGCAACCCGGTTTGGATTCCTAGACTGAGGGTCATGTGAGTAGAGTCGTTTGTYGGTTTTCTCCTGTGCTTCGAGGGTTTTCACCGGGTTCTCTGGTTTTCCTTCCTCCACAAAAATCAACTTCTAAATTCCCATTCAATTATGGAACAAGGGCCACAGGTTTCTTAGCCACTAGCTCTTAGTTAGTTTCATCCCCTCGTAAACAAAACCTCATAGGGCTCAAAGCTGAGACGGAAGGCGAACGTTTTATCGCTACGTACGCGTCCAGCTAGGGGCAGATCTAGGATTTTGTTCAGGGAGGGGTGGTGTGCACAATGTTAACCCCTGACGGAAGGGTACATCCCTTACAATCAAAGTGAAAAAACTCGTTATCTTCGAAGTTGGGGCACAAAGTCCAACCAGGGAGGGGTGCGCACCCCCTGCACCCCTCCCCTGGATCCATCTCTGGCGTCACCCTTGCTGTTTAGTGTGCTCCACGCCATAATATCACCAGTCTAATGCCATTCAATTTTCCCACTAACCTTGTCCGCCTCAGCTACCTCACAGATTTTTTCTTCAGTGGTTGGGTTGATGGTTGGGAAGGTCTTCTTGCTTACAGCGTCCACAAACTCATTGTTTATGAATAACTGAAATACGAATAATGATAGAAAAACAGAAATTTAAGCATTTTTTGGTTTAAATGGTGGGTGGGTGTATGGATGGATGGATGGATGGATGGATGGATGGATGGGTGGGTGGGTGGAT